AAAAATAGCACCTGGATGTGGGAAAGAAAGAGAACTTCACAAGAGAGACCAGTGAAGCTGAAGACATTTTCACAGGTAAATGATTAAAGCTAGGAAACAAATTGATTTTGAGCTTCATAAATAGCAGGTATAGACCCAGTCCCTCTGCCCTTCCTGTGCCATAATGCAAGGCAGAAGATGCCAAGTGTGTCAGTGGTACTGTGCTGTTAACCCCATATTGTTCCATTTTTAATTTAAAATTTTTAAAAGATTTCATTTATTTCAGAGAGAGAGAGCACACGCAGCAGGGAGGGGCAGAGGGAGAAGGAGAAGCAGACTCCCTGCTGAGCAGAGACCCCCCCCCATGTGGGACTCGATGCTAGGACCCCAGGATCATGACCTGGGCTGAAGGCAGATGCTTAATCAACTGAGCCACCCAGGTGCCTCATTTTTAATTTTTAAAAGAAATACATCAAAAGAAAGAACCTGGGGCGCCTGGGTGGCTCAGTCAGTTAAGCGTCTGCCTTCGGCTCAGGTCATGATCCTGGGGTCCTGGGATCGAGCCCCACGTCCGGCTCCCTGCTCAGCGGAGAGCCTGCTTCTCCCTCTCCCTCTGCCTGCCACTCTGCCTACTTATACTCTCTCTCTGTCAAATAAATAAATAAAACCTTAAAAAAAACCTTTAAAAAAAAAAAGAAAGAACCTAACTGTCATTGGTGATCATGTCCCTCTAAAGGCTGGATTGATGAGTAAAGAACGAAGTAGTGGCTAGCCAAAGTGTGGCCCAGGTATAGTGTGTGGCGGGGGGGGTGTGTGTGTTAAGACATCTGGCTGCTTAGTTTGGAATTAGTTTCAGGTTCATATGACTGAGGTTGTTAAGATGTTTTTATTAGCCATAATTCTGGGAGATCTTACTAGCTCTGTCCATCCCTTACATTTTTATCAAAGGGGTGCTTAAAGGATTCACAAACAAGGAGGACCAGGGGAAGCAGGAGGCTTCTGATTCTGAGGCAGCCCACCATTTCATAAGTGTGTGTGTGTTATTTCACGGAAGAGAAAATGACAAAATCATTTAAAAACATGGTATTAGTAATTTTCTGGATGGCCCTGAGGATGACTTATTTGTAGCAGATAATATTGACCCAGTTTTAAAGCAATGAAATGTTTTAGTGCTTCAGTGTAAAGGAAAACTCTGGATTCCAGGGATTACAGTGAGTTTTCATGATGGGGGGTGATGATTTTGTAAACTTTGAGGATGATTGATCTTTAGAATTTGTTTTCTTCTTTTCTTTTACATTTCTAGTAGAAGTCATTAATTGTCTTCTTGTTGAACATTGGTATACTAGTATTCATAAAATATTTTTACATATGCATGAGTGAGGCATTGGAAGTTCTTCAAATTTATAATTTTATTGTGTGCTTTATACCTGTTTTTATGGAAATATTTCCTGTCTAAGCAGCATCTTTGGAAAGTTACCTTTATGTCCTCTCTCATTTGGGCCTTTACACACATACACACACCAAAAACATTTACTATAGTTTTAGTTGGGGCTCAGGAAGAAGTAAAAATAAATGCATGTGTTTAATTTGCCGTCTTTACCCTGAACTCCTACTAGTCTTTGAATTTATTAAGATTTTATTTATTTTTTGACAGAGAGAGAGAGACAGCGAGAGGGAACACAAGCAGGGGGAGTGGGAGAAGGAGAAACAGGCTTCCCACTGAGCAGGGAGCCCGATGCGGGGCTCGATCCTAGGACCCTGGGATCATGACCTGAGCCGAAGGCAGACGCTTCATGACTGAGCCACCCAGGCGCCCCTAGTCTTTGAATTTAATTGTGTCGATCTTTTCTTTTATGGTTTGTGTTTTATGGTTTTACATCTTAAGAAGTTCTTTTCTATGTCAAGGTGATAAACATACTCATCTACGGTTTCTTCTATTCCGTATATTTTAAACATTAGGTCTTTCATTGACCTCAAATGATGAAACATTTGAAAAATACTGAAGCTGTGATAATGGCAAGACAGAAGTATTTTTAAAGATATTTATTTATTCATTAGAGAGAGCGCATGAGCAAAAGGGGGGAAGGGAGAGGAACAAGCAGATTCCACACTGAGCACAGAGCCCGATCTCAGGACCCTGAGATCATGATCTGAGCCAAACCAAGAGCTGGAATCTTCACCAGCTGAACCACCCAGGCGCCCCACAAGATAGAGGTATTTTAAAAATGGAAGAGAAGTTAGAACTTAGGAAAAAAAAACCCTAAAGGCTGAGTGATAAAGGAAAAGTAAGCAAAGTGCACTACTTTGCTATGCAGCGAATAATTACATGGTCTTTCCAATGTAAACACTGATCATGATCTAAATATAGTGGTATGACTATATTTAGAGGATAGGGTGACAGAAGAGGAAAGTTGGTAAAAGAGTTAAATCTCTTTTTATTTTTTATTTATTTTTTTAAAAATATTCTATTTATTTATTTGAGAGAGAGCACAAGCGGGGGGTGGGTGTGAGGAGGAGCAGAGAGAGAGGGACAAGCAGGCTCTCTGCTGAGCAGGGAACCCGACATGGGGCCCAATCCCAGGACCTTGAGAAGGCAGCTGCTTAACTGACTGAGCCGCCCAGGCTCCCCAAATCTCCACTTTTTATAATAGGAAGCCAATTGGCAATGTTTAAAATAGATAAACCAAGAAACAGAAGTATGAACAAAATATTTAGACGTATGGCACCAACTCCTAGAAGAAGTTGCTTAAGAGTTAAAATGTGCAGGAAATGGTTTTCAGAATAAGTCATTTGGTACTTTTCAATATTTTTAAAAACCATAAGTATGTATTATTTGATTTTTAAAAATTATGCATCTTACAGAAAAAAGAACAGGATAACATTGTCAAAGATGAAGGCAGACAAAGAGAGTGGTCACTCATTTTCTGATGTAATAAAGAATATATTGCACGCCTGCTCAGGGAAGGGTTTGAGGCACATACAAGGCATGTAATGTGGCAGGATAATTTAGCAAAATACGAAGTTTTGTTTGTTCTGCCTATGTGTTTCCTTTCTCTCTCTGGAGCAAACAAGAGTTTTGGCAGGGCTGAGAACAGAGGCATCCTGATGTCAAAGGCCCTTCTGCCTTTGTAAAAGTCCAAAGCAAACCTGGGAAGAGCTTATGTCCCGGAGGGACTGGGAGGAAGGATTTTGAAGAGAGGTCTTTATGACTAGGAGGGAATTGGTGTGCAGGTCCAGCGGTGGACTCTGATGTAGCAAGTGGCAGCACCTGAGTACACGGCTCTGGGGGTGTCTGGGGAAGCCAGGTTCAAGCCCAGAGGCTCTCATAGCTGAATTTCCATGTCTCAAATATGGCCCAGAGCTAAGAGTTTGCGAGTTCAGCACCTGAAGAGCCATACTGACTAGTACTACAGGGTACTGTATGTATGCGAATGCTAAAGCATTCGCTGGTAAGACTAATGTCCAGAGATGGGATGGTGTGTGTGTGTGTGGTGGGGGGCAGGTAGGAAGCCTCCTCTGGGCCTTGGTGTTTTTCTGACCTTTTGCACAGCCCTTGGTAGCGGGGGGATCTCAAGACTGCCAGATGAACTCCTCACTAGCACTCCAGTGCAGGGGCTCGGAGTAATATTAAGGTCATTGGTAGCACATTTTAAAAAGCAGGTGTTCGGGCGCCTGGGTGGCTCAGTTGGTTGGGCGACTGCCTTCGGCTCAGGTCATGATCCTGGAGTCCTGGGATCGAGTCCCGCATCGGGCTCCCCGCTCAGCGGGGAGTCTGCTTCTCCCTCTGACCCTTTGACCCTCTTCCCTCTTGTGCTCTCTATCTCTCATTCTCTCTCTCTCAAATAAATAAAATCTTTAAAAATTTTTTTTCAAAAAAAAAATAAAATGCAGGTGTTCTTGCACATCTGAGTTTGCAGACTAGGATCATACCTGCTACACAAGGATAGCTGGGAGAGCCCCTGTTTTCACCGGTTGCAGGAGGAGCAGACAGCAAGTATTTTAATGACTTTATGATAAGTAGTAAATGATGTGGTGTGCTCAGGCTCCCACTGAAGGAAAAGATGGTGGGGCAGTCACCTCTAGCTTCTTGCTCCTCACCCAGGATCTATTTCCTTCTTTCTCACATGGCCTGGCCCCCATGATGGTCGTCCCTCTCTCTATAATAGGGGTGAAGGAGGGAGTAAGAGGATCTCTGCTCCGGGGAGAAAGAGGTAGAGGAGAGCCAGACCAGAGTCTTTTTTGGAGAGGACACTGATTTACATCTGAATTCTGGGGTTCTGAATACCTGGCAGAGGTTAAAGGGGCTTGGTCTCCAGAGGTTAAAGGGTTTAAAGTACCCTAGGGGAGAAAAGAAGGGAAGGGCTGGAGGCTTTCACAGCTGGAAGGGAGTTGAGGGAGTCAAGAAGCCCAGATCACAATAAAGACGCACACAGCCCTATTAAACAAAGGGGGATCCAACTTCACTGATTAGGGCAGAAGGGAATCCACTTGGATGTTTGGGAAGGGATCCCAGGGGTGGAACTGTGCTATAGGGTAGGTTTAGTAGAACTTGAGTTTGCCTGTGTTACAGGTCTCCCTTCCAAGGAAGGACTTGGGAGTTCACATTCAGAAGCCCCCCAGGGAAAGTAGAGGCAGTCCCAGGCAGAGCTAGGAAAAGATCTGGAGGCCACTCCTGGAGTGAGAGAATGCTGGATACAATCAGGAAAGGGCTCTCTTCAGGGTCTCAGAGGCCCGCAGAGCCTTTGGAGATGTGTGCTGTGGGTCCACCATCTCTCACTGACAGGGATTTCTCAGAGACCAGGGGCAGCCCAGGTCCCTTCTACTGCCAAGGTAGCTGGGGTGGGGATGGGGGGCAAAGAAACTCTTGGAGTAGGTGAGAAAATAGAATTAGGTAATAGAATTAGCTAAACCAGGTTTAGCTCTTGGCTGGGACCCCAGAGTGTGTTGACCCCACCCAGTAGTGATAGTGACACTAGCTTCCCCATGGGCACAAACACACAGAAACAGATATTTGGGTGGGAGACTGGAACAGGTTTTTATTGTTAGGTATAAATCATGTTTACGAGGAAGCAGTGGGTGCAGTGGGAGCAGGGTCAGGTCCAGAGGGTCTTGGGTGACCTTTCCTCAGAGGGGACAGCCCTGCTGCCTCCTCTCACGCTTTCTGGGAGACTATCCCTCCGCTGCCTTTCTGGGCCTGGCCTGGTGTGGGCAACTCAGCCATGCGGGGTAGGGCTGGGAATACAGAAGGGATGGTTGAAGCAGGAGAAGGGGTGGGGCAAGGCCAGCATGAGGTGGTTGCTCCAGGGCCCCTAGGGCCCCTGAGTCCACCCTTTCTCCTAGCCCACTTCTTGCTCCTTGGATCAGGGCTCCAAGCCCTGGTGAGGCTGGTGGGGGCCTCCTGGGCTCCAGGCTGGTCACTGGGCTATGGACCCTTTTGGGGTCTGTGGCTGTTCAGTCCTGGGAGGGCAGAAGAGGGGAGGGGCTTGAGGGGCTGAGCGAGGCTCCCCTTTGCTTCCCCCCCCCCCCGCCCCCGTCCCTTTAGCTTCCTCACCTCTTACAGCCTTTGGAGCCCTTTCCCTTCTTGCCAGACTTGGGAGCCCTCTTGTCCTTCTTACAGCCCTGGACTTGTTTCTGTGGGGCCGGTGGCTGGTCCAGACGCTGCATCAGCTGCTGCACCCAGGTCTCTTTAGGGTCTGCACACAGCTCTGGTTGAGAGCGCTTCCGAGGTGAGAACCTGGGGGTTGGGCATGAGCAAGCCGGTCCTAGTCTTGCCCCCCAGGCCCTCCCCCCTCGGCGGCACCCATCCTCTTGCACTCACTCACAGGATGGCCGGGATGGGGCAGCCCAAACTTGGCTCCTGCTTCCGGTAGCTGCGGACAACCCGGGCGGGAATCTTCCTCAGGCTGTACTTGAGGCAACAGTCCTGTGCCCCTCCGTCACTGCCTGCAGGGTGGGGTTTACCGGGAGCCAGGGCTTCTTGTAGGCTCCGACCCAGCCTCCCCTTCTCCCCATCCTTGGCCACTCCCTCCTTGGTACCTTGGGTCCAGGGGATGCAGAAGAGAAGGACCACGACAAGGAGGCTCAGAGCCAGTGACTGAGCCATGGCTGTGGTGGCGGGTGAGTGTGAGGCCAGAGCAGTGGGCGAGGCGGACCGCTGCAAGCTGGGGGTCCGTGTGCCGGCTAGGACCGGACTATTGCCTATTTATGCAGGCAGACACTTTCACTTCCTCCGTCCCCAGTCACTCTGTCCAGGCAAGAATAGGGATCTCCCTCCTTTTCCTTCCTGAAAGGCAGATCCTGTCCTGGCACCCAGCCTCACGAGTATGCGGAAACAAAAACTTCACACGGCTCGTCAGGCTCAGCAGGGTTCCAAGCCGCCTGAGTCTTTCTCCTCAATATAAGTTGATTTTGTCAGGGCCTCTTTTTTATTTTATCTTATTTATTTATTTATTTTTAAAGATTTTATTTATTTATTTGACAGAGAGAGACACAGCGAGAGAGGGAACACAAGCAGGGGGAGTGGGAGAGGGAGAAGCAGGCTTCCCGCCGAGCAGGGGGCTCGATGCGGGGCTCGATCCCAGGACCCTGGGATCACGACCTGAGCCGAAAGCAGACGCTTAACAACTGAGCCACCCAGGCGCCCGTGTCAGGCCCTCTTTCTACCTTTCGCCACTGTCTTGGTGCAGGCCTCCCCACCTCTCCCCTGGAATGTTCCCCAGGAAGATTGCCTCTTCACTGCATTCCGGGTTCCACACTCTCCCCATCCTTCCAGCAGGCTGAGGACTGTTCCTAAAATGCACATCTGATTATTGGACTGTAAGGGTTCTTTCTCTGTTCTGGACAATAGACCCTTATCAGATACAGGATTTGTAAAACTTTCCTCCCTTTCTGTGGGTTTTCACTCTCCTGATAGTGTCCTTTGATACACAGAATTTTAAAATTTTGATGAAGTCCAATTTATCTATTTTTCTGTTGCCTGTGCTTTTGTTGTCATATTTAAGAAACCATTGTCAAATCCAAGGCCATGAAGGTTTCCCCTTGTTTTTTTTCCCCCAGCTTTATTGAGGTATAACTGAAAAATAAAATCTATGTATTTAAAATGTTACAATGTGATGATTTCATATAGGTATACATTGTGAAATAATTACCACAATCAAGTTAATTAATGCCTCCATCACTTCACATAGTGACCTTTTTCTTTTCTTGTGGTGAGAATGTTTAAGATATATTTTCTTAGCAAATTTCAAGTGTACAATATAGTATTATTATTTTTTTTAAACATTTTTTAAAAGATTTTATTTATTTGTTTGACAGAGCGAGAGACAGCGAGAGCAGGAACACAAGCAGGGGGAGTGGGAAAGGGAGAAGCAGGCTTCCCGCTGAGCAGGGAGCCCGATGGAGGGCTCGATCCCAGGACCCTGGGATCATGACCTGAGCTGAAGGCAGATGCCCAACGACTGAGCCACCCAGGCGGCCCCTACAATATAGTATTATTAACTACAGTGACCATATTGTACATTCATTCCTTAAAACTTGTTCATCTTATAACTGAAAGTTTGTAACCTTTGACCAACATTTCTCCATTCTCTCCCTGCCCCAAACCCCTGGTAACCACCATTCTGTTTCTATGTGTCTGAATTTTTTTTTTAATTACACTTATAAGTGATACGGTGTAGTATTTGTGTTTCTGTCTGGCTTATTTCACTTAGTAAAAGGCTTTCTAGGTTCATCCATGTTGTCTCAAAGGGCAGTTTCTTCTTTTTTAATGGCTGAATAATATTCCATTGTATGTATATACCAGATCTTCTTTATCCATTCATCCATCAATAGACACTTAGGTTGTTTCCGTGTCTTGGCTGTTGTAAATAATGATACAGTGAACAAGAGAGGACAAATATCACTTTGAGGCAGTGGTTTCATTTCCTTTGGATATATACCCAAAAGAGGGATTGCTAGATCATATGATAGTTCTATTTTTAATTATTTGAGCAATATCTATACTGTTTTTCATAATGGATGTACCAATTTACATTCTCATCAACAAGGTTACAGTGTTCCCTTTTCTCCACACCCTCTCCAACATTTATCTCTTGTCTTTCCTTTTTTTATTTGAGAGAGAGAGAGAGGGCAAGAGCACAAGGATGAGCATGAGGGGAGGGGTAGAGGGGAGAAGGGGGGAGGACAAGAGTGAGAGGGGGAAGGGGCAGAGGGAGAGGGAGAAGCAGACTCCCTGCTCAGTGGGGAGTCCCATGTGATGCAGAGCTAGATCCCAGAACCCTGAGATCAGGACTTGAGCAGAAGACTGACACTTAACCAACTGAGCTATCCCAGGCACACCTATCTCTTGTCTTTCTGATACTAGGCATTCTAACAGGAATGAGGTGATATGTCATTGTGGTTTTGGTTTGCATTTCTCTGATGATTCTCTGCACCTCCTTGCCCAGTGCAGAGCTTGATGCCGAAATCAAGAGTTGGATCCTTAGCCGATTGAGCTGCCCAGGTGCCCTGATTACTATAGCATTTTAATATAGTTTGAAATCAGGAATTATGATGCCTCCAGCTTAGTTTTTCTTTTTCAAGATTCGGGCTATTTGGGGTCTTTTGTGGTTCAATATGAATTTTAGGTTTTCTTTTTTCTATTTCTGTGAAAGAATGCCATTGGAATTTTGATAGAGATTGCATTGAATCTGTAGCTCACTTTGGGTAGTATGGACGTTTTAACACTAATAATATTCTAATCAAAGAACACAGGATATCTTTCCATTTATTTGTGTCTCCTCTTCAATTTCTTTCATCAGTGTCTTATATTTTTCAGTTTATAGGTCTTTCACCTCCTTGGTTAAATTTATTCCTAAGTATTTTATTGTTTTTAATGATATTGTAAGTGGGATTATTTCTTAATTTCTCTTCTAGATAGTTTGTTGTTAGTGTATAGAAATGCAACTGATTTTTGTATGTTGATTTTGTATCCTGCAACTTTACTGAATTTATTAGTTCTAACAGTTTTTTTGGTGGAGTCCTTGGGATTTTCTATGTATAAGATCAAGACATCTACAAGCAGAGACAGTTTTACTTCCTTTCTGAGCTGGTTGCTTTTTATTTCTTTTTCTTGCCTAATTGCCCTGGCTAGGACTTCCGGTACTGAGTTGAATAGAAGTGATAATAGTAAGCACGCTTGTTTTGTTCCTAATCTTCCCCAATGTGGGGCTCAAACTCACAACCCTGAGATCAAGAGTCACATGATCTGCCAACTGAGCCAGCCAGGTGCCCCGGATATTTTTTTTACATAAACTCTGTGACCAATGTGGGGCTTGAACTCAGACCCCTACATCAAGAGTCTCAAGTTCTACTGACTGAGCCAGCCAGGTGCCCCAGTTTTGTTCTTAGAGAAAAAGCTTTCAATCTTTTGCTCTTGAGGATGATGTTAGCTGAAAGCTTGTCATCTATGACCTTATTTATATTGAGATACGTTCCTTCTATACCTAATTTATTGAGAGTTTTTATCATGAAATGATGTTGAATTTTGTCAAATGCTTTTACATCTGTTGAGATGATCATATAATTTTTATCCTTCATTCTGTTAATGTCGTGTTTCACATTTGTTGATTTGAGTATATGACCCGTTTTGCATCCCAGGGATAAATCCCACTTGATCATAGTGTATGACTCTTAATGTGTTGCTGAATATGTTTTGTAAGTATTTTGTTGAGGACTTTGCCTGTATGTTAAACAGGGATATTGGCCTGTAATTTTATTATCTTGCAGTGCTCTTGTCTGGCTTTGGTATCAGGGTGAGGCTGGGCTCATAAAATGAGTTTGGGAGTGTTCCTTCATCTTCAATTTTGGATAAGAGTTTCAGAAGGATTGGTATTACTTCTTCTTTAAATGTTTGGTAGAATTCATCAGTGAAGGATTCACCTGGTAGAATTTACCAGGACCATCTATCTGGTCCTGGGCTTTTCTCTGTTGGGAGATTTATTATTACTGATTTAATGTCCTAACTAGTTATAGGTCTATTTAGATTTTCTATTTCTTCATGATTCAGTCTTGGTAGGTTGTATGTTCCTAGGAATTCATCCATATCCTCTAGATTATCCAATTTGTTGGTATATAATTGTTCAGCGTGGTCTCTTAAGATCCTTTGTATTTGTGTGGTATCATTTGGAATGTCTTCTTTTTCATTTCTGATTTTGTTTTCCAATAGAAACCTCCAGATGTTTCCATTGCTACACAAATTTACATCACCACCAACAGCGTATTATGGTTCCCTTTTCTCCACATCCTCACCAACACTTATTTTTTGTCTTTTTGGTTAATAGCCAGTCTGACAGGTGTGAGGTGATATCTCATTGTTGTTTGATTTGCATTTCCCTGATCATTAGTGATGTTGAGCATCTTTTCATGTGCCTGTTGGCCATCTGTATGTCTTTGGAAAGATGTTTATTCAAATCCTCTACTAATTTTTTAATTTTTTAAATATTAAGTTAATATTAATAAACTTAATATTAAGTTTAAATATGAATTCTCTATATATTTTGGACATTAGTCTGTTCTTGGATGTGTGATTTGCAAATACCTCTTCTGATTCAGTAGGTTACCCTTCATTTTGCTGATGGTTTTCTTTGCTGTGCAAAAGTTTTCTAGTTTTGATGTAATCCCATTTGTTTATTTTAGCTTTTGTTGTCCTTGCCTGAGGAGATTGGCACCCCCCACCCCGAAAAATATATTGCTAAGACTGATGTCAAAGAGCTTACTGTCTGTGTTTTCTTCTAGGAGTTTCATGGTTTCAGGTTTTATACTCCAAGTCAGACTCAATAATTTCAATTGCCTTATCTTCAAGTATCTGATCCTTCCTTCCACCTTCTCAAGTTTGTTGTTGAATTCCCCTAATGAATTTTTTCATTTAAATTATTGTATTTTTGGCTTGGGCACCTGGGTGGCTCAGTTGGTTTAATGTCTGACTCTTGGTTTTGGCTCAGGTCATGATCTCAGGGTCCTGAGATCAAGCCTTGCGTTGGACTCCATGCTCATTCTCCCTCTCCCTCTGCCCCTCCTCTCTCTCTCTCTCTCAAACAAATAAAATCTTTAAAAATTAAATTATTGCATTTTTGGCTCTAGAATGTTTGTTTGGTTCATTTTTTTTTTAAAGATTTTATTTGA